ATGGTGAATCTGTGGAATTCATTGCCACAAAAGGCCGTGGAGGCCAGGTCATAGTTTGTATTTAAGATAGAGATAGTTAGGTCCTTGATTGGTGAGGAGAAAGCAGGAGAATGGGGTTGAGAAACCGGTCAGCTGTGATCGAATGGCACAGCAGCCTTGATGGGCCAAAAAGCCTAATTCTGCCTTCGTATCTTATGGTTTTACTGAATATAGATACAATGAGTAAAATGATCCACTTAGATGTGCCACGTAGTTGGTGCATTAGGACCAGAAGTAGCAGGGTTCCAACTTGCAGCTAATTCAGTATTGTCAGGACACAGGAGCTGAGTCAGTCATAATATCACAGTATTCAAAACTGCTGTATGCCCATCGGATTGGTACAACAGAGGATGTACCCTGATTGGTTTGAACAAGTTGGGAATTTGCACAGGAACACAATTATGGTAAAATTTAATGAGTGTAATGTTACACATACTGTTTAGAATTCCATGGCTACCAGAATTGAGAAGAGTCTCAAAGTTGTTATGATGCAGAAGGAGGCCGTTTGAGCCTGTTCCAGCTCTCTGAGCATTTTGGCTTGATGTTAATCTTCTGCATTTCCACTGCATCCTGCACATTATTTCTATTTAAATAATCATCCATTGCCCTTCTGAATGCCTGAGTTTTTAATCTGATTCCATCAGACTTCCAGGCAGTGCATTTGAGATCCAAACTATTTGTCTCTGAAAAAGTTTTTCTCTTACGTTGTGCTTGTTTCTTTTGCAAAACACTTTATATCTGTCTCCTCTAGTTCTTGATCCTCTTAGGAGAGTAGACAGTTCCTCCCTGTCCACTCTGTCCAGACCCCTCATGATTTTGAAAACTTCTATAAGATATCCTTTTAACTTTCTCTCATCCATCCTCAACTGACTTCTCATGGTTGGAACCATTTTTGTAATTCCTTTCTGAACTTTCTCCAACGCATTCACGTCCTTCATAACATGTGGCGCCCTGAACTGTACACAATACTTCAGCTGAGATCTATCCAACATTCCACACAAGTTTAATATAACCTCCCTGCTCTGTGGTCTCCACCCCTATTTATAAAGCCGAGAATAATGTATGCTTTAACTGCTCTCTCTACCTGTCCTCCTACTTGTAATGATCTGTCCATACATATATACGCCCAGGCCTCTGTTCCTGCACACAGCCTTTAGGGTGCTTCATTTTATACAGTCTCTGAAATGCATCACATCACACTTCTCTGCAATGAATTTAAGCTGTCACCTATTCATCCACTTCTCCAACTTGTCAGTTTCCCTTTTGAAGTTTCATACTGCCTTCTTCAAAGTGTCCAAGTTTTACATCATCTGCCAAGTTTGAAATTGTCCCGTGCACATCAAGTTCACAATTATTTATATGTCGGAAAAGGCAAGGCTCCCAATACTCTTCCAAGGGGAGCTCCACTGCAAATTTTCTCAAACCTAAAGCCATTGACCATTAGTCGCTGGTTCTGATACCTCAGCCAATTTTGTTTCCATGTTGTTATTGTGCCTTTTATTCCATGCGCTATAAGTTTCCTCACACAGGTCACTCATGTAATTGTCTATCACATGCCTTTTGAAAGTCCAGGTACACTACATCAACAGTATTTCACTCCTCAGCCCTCTCTTTTTGCCTCTAAATAAAGCTCCAGCAGGTTAGTTAGACATGGCTTTCCCTTGACAAACCTATGCTGGTTCTTCTAAATTTAAACCATATTTTTCTGTGTGATTTTTGATTCTATCAAAAAAGAATTGTTTCAAGAAATGTCTTCAGGACTGACATTAAGTTGACTGGTCTGTAACTGCGAGATTTATCTTTACAACTGCTTTGAAACAACGGCATAATGCTTGCAATTCTCAAGTCCCCTGTCCAGAAAAGATTGAAAGATCTGATCATTTTGTCTGCAAGTTCTACTTCCTAGAACATACTTGGATGCGTCTCATCCAGCCATGGTGCCTTGTCAACTTTAAGTACTGGCAATTTATTCAATATTCCTCCTTATCATTTTAAACCATTTTAATGATTGTATTTTCTCCATCATTGTGCCCTGCAAGGAGCTGCCTAGTAGCTAAAGATGCAAAGTATTCATTTCACCCATCTGACGTGCCTCCTGCCATCATGTGTGAATCCCTATTATTGTTCCAAATCGCCCCTGTTTGTCCTTTTACCACAATTACTATTTATGTGCCTATAGAGGACTTTGGGATTTCACTGTTAGATGTCAATCTTTTCTCATTATCTATCTTCTGTTCTCTGATTTGCTTTTTCACCACCATGTATTCACCATGATTCTCCTTTTACTATTTTCTCCCTGACATCTGTCATAAACACACTTTTTCTTCAACTTAATGTCTGTCTCCATTATTCAGCGAGCTGCGAATTCAAGGAAATATACCTTGACTGTGCCCAAACCATCTCCTGTTGAAGGTAGCCAGCTACTCAATTACTGTTTTTCCTAGTAATCTATCATTCCAATCTATCCAGTCCAGTTCCATTCCCATTTCCTGCCCCATTGAAGTTGGCATTTCCTCTAAGTGAATTGCTGAAGCAAGCTTTTTTTTTTCATCCTATAGCAGGATGGTCAGCAACATGCACTCATTATGCTGAAGCAAGGCTGTCAGAATGTCTTGTCATCAAACTGTGACGTCAGAAGGCAACAGCATTCGAAATGGATGCTTTGCAGAAAAGATTGGGTATGGGTCTTCATGGTCCAAGCCTGTTAGATTTACTTTAAAAGGTTAGTCACTAGAACAAGGAAATTATGCCCGTATTGAATGAGAACCTCTTGCCTTTGCCATCAGAATCACCAAATTTCACACCAGCTTATTTGGGATAGAGTTCATGGTTGAGGCAGATCATAAACTGGAGAAAATCTCTCACAAGTATGCCTGCCTCAACCCCAGAAGTTACTTGTCAAGATTCTTATCAGGCACTCAAAGTGGATTACCCATTTTGGGATATCGTGAGGCAAAACATTCAATGTCCTATAGATGAAGTCAAGCTTGAAGGATACCTACTCCATACATCTCGTGCTTCAGTCAAAATGAGAGAGGAACTCCAGAGGGCAACTTGTCAACGTCCCAAGCACTATGGCACATCATTAAGTACAGTTGGCCCTATATCATCCAGGAGATACCTATGGATATGAGAACATATCGGTTATATCAAGGTGAGATTGGTTATGTCCAGTGGTGTATTCTCCAAAGGACACCAAGCAGACAGCACTTCAGCCTGACATGTTTGATCAGCTCCATCAGAAACACATGAGAATAAAGAAGATGAGATGATTTTTCATGTTGGCCCAGCCTGAGCGACTTTGTCAACCTAGTCATTAAATGTTTGCAGTGTGTACCAGAAGCACCGAGCTGGTCAGCAGAAAGATCCCTACAACCACGCAGCATACAGTCTCCTAGTCAGCCACTTGTGCAGTGGTAGTGTCTCTGCCTCTGAGCTGGAAGGCCCCCAGCTTCAAGTCCCACCTACTTCACAGGCGTATCATAACACATCTGAACAGGTTGATTATAAATGTCTGTTACAGTCTGCTAGTGACTGACCGACGGTCCAAATTTCCGACTTTTCAGAAGCTTCGGGATGCGTTGAATGCAGCAGCAGCTGCTGGAATTACTGGTATCATCTTTAATCTATTTGGTGCCTTTGATGGCGGTGGGTATTGGACAATAGTTCACTTTGCATCAGCAAACCAATCCGAGATATGTGTGAGCAACAATCTGTCAACCACGTCATGCCATAGTCATGATATCCTCATTCCAATTCTCGTTTAAGCCTTCTTAAAGATTTTCCTAAGTTTTGTCTAATTATATTTCTTCCTCCTTGTCCAGGCTATTTGTTTTGCAAATTGCAGATGAAGCCTACGCAGACCTATCTATTCTAGTCTGGTTTTACTTTTGTAATAAAGCTAGCTCACTGACATACAAATTAAGTAAATTGTCAATATAACTTTGTCCGATCATGAGTAATTATTGTTAAACGCTGTTTCCTGTAAAATTTATGAAGAATTTATGTCCTTAACAATTAATGTGTGATGGAAAGGATAAACAAAACACTTCCAGTTATAGCTGTTTTGAGTGACTAACTTGCAAACCTTAGTGTCCTGGTACATACCATTCTTAATGTTACAAAGAAATTTGTAGCAACTAGTCATTGACAACATTTTTTTTCTGGTATTCCTCTCCCTGTCCTCTTTCGGTACTAACATTTAGTATTTCTTGTTGTATGGGGATTGTTCAGGACAACCACTGTACTCCTTTTGAGTTATGCAACTTAAATGTGAAACATCAGCATCTAGTTCAATCCATTAATTGAACCAAAATAAAACAAAACTGCAGATGCTGAAGCTCTGAAAGAAAAACAGAAATTGCTGGCAAAATCCAGCAGATCTGACAGCATCAGTGAGAATAAAACAGAATTAATGCTCAGAGTCCAGTCACTCCTCTTCACAACTATGTTCAGCAAAGTCACTGGACTCGAAACGTAAACTCCACTTTCTTACCACAGATGCAGCCAAACCTGTTGAGTTTCACCAGCAATTTCTACTTTTGCTATTAATTGAGCCATAATGATGTTGTAAGGTGTAAAACTGCATAGAAATAAATAAATATTCACAACCAGGACTACATAGCTGATGTGAGTTGTATTTTACTAAAAGAATACAGAAGTGGACGCTTGCTGGGTTAAGCACGAAAAACATTTTGACCACACTTATTGCACATACAAGATCTTGCATCGAGACAAATGAATACAAAATGAAGTTCTTGGTCAAATATTTTCTGTCCTTAAAATCTTTGAATGATAAACTACAGAGAAATGTCTTAAGAGGTATGCCTGTTTTATTTTGTTGCATAGTGCTGTTTAATGAACAAAGTAAGGTGATGTAAGCTATACGGTGTATTGGTGCTTTTGTCTGCCTTTTGGAAGCAATGCTCATCAGTTGTACGCAATGTTTGTTGTTTTATTAGAGTGACTGGGGGAGAATTATTTGAAGATATTGTGGCCAGAGAATACTATAGTGAAGCAGATGCCAGGTAAGTGCCTCATTTTATTGTGAGACTAATAGGCCTGGAAATCCCTTAGAGCTGTTCGAAGGGGTTTCTTGGCCCAGATTGCGGCACCGTATTTAGTCAGTCACGTGTGAATCTTTCTCTTTAGTGTCCAGTGCTCAATCATGTTGAAGTCAAATTTAACACAACAAAAACATTGTTTTATTTTTACACTTAAATAAAAGCATTTTTGTTCGTAAATGCTGTTAAAGACATGTTGCTAAAATATAGCACCAATTTATGGGCTCCAGTTTTTTTTTGTAAGGTAAAACAATCTAATTTTCCAGGTTTTACAGCACATAAAAAAGGAATATTTTTCCATTTCTGAAGTCTGAAGTTTTTAGCAGTGACAGGGGTAGCCAATGTCCGTTTCAAAATTACGCTGACACTTTTTTCAGCTTTTCAACTTTTAGTCCAGAAATCAGAAACTATAATACCAAAAACAATTTTTTAAAAATCACAGCTAATTGAAAATTAAAAGCTACAAAAATTGTGGTAAACTAAATGATTTACTATATGTAATGTTGCACTTTAAATTGATTGTTGGCTTAAAAAAGTGCATTTAAAAATGCAATGGCAAATAAAGTCTGATCTTAATGTAGATGCATGATGCTGTTGATGCTTTCAGAAATGTTTGGTTGATATTGGGTAGATTTTCTGCTTTGATCACATTCAATGATCTGAATGCAAATTGCATCCATCTTCATACGGCTTCTTCTCCCCACCTAACTTTCTGTTCGTAACAATTTGCGTATTACTGAATGCAAAATTTGCTGCCAACCAATACAATCATGCATTAATTATTAAGCACATTTTCAAAATACTTGGTTTAAAAATATTTTTAGATAAGGTTAACCATGGTAACTTGATGCAGTTTGATTAACAGAGCTTAAAATAGCTGCCTCACAGAAAATCAGCAGTTTAATCGTTGTCAGCGCACCATCTGTAAATAACCTAATTTTAACATACTAAAAATGAGCTTTAAAAGATATGCAAAGCTGTTTTCAGTTCATGTGCAGTAATCAGTGAACTTACTACCTTGAAATATACATCTGAAATATTTTAAGATGCAGTTTTTGGAATCCTTGCAACCAAAGTATCCTTTTGAAACGTTAGACCCTCCTCAGTAACTCACAAACAATGTGTAGAAATTCCCAATGGTGTTCAAGACCATACCTCATTTTGTGGATCATCATCTACCATGATGGTTTTAAAACAAGCTTAAATAATCGCAGAAACATAATATGTGCTGAATGCAATTTGCTGTCAAAATACGGTAATTATTAGGGCAAAACAGGATCAAGACTTGTCGATGAAGTTGGGCTTAACCCATGGAGTTATAGAATCGTACAGCATGGATAACAGACCCTTCAGTCTGACCAGTCCATGCCAAACATAATCCCAAACTAACTAATCCCACCTGCCTGTTCCTGGCTCATATCCCTCCAAACCTTCCCTATTCATGTACTGATCCAAATGTCTTTTAAACGTTGTAATTGTATCCACATGCACCACTTCCTCAGAAAGTTCATTCCACACGCGAACCATATTAAAAATTTGCGCCTCATGTCTTCTTAAAATCTTTCTTCTCTCACCTTCAAAATGTGCCCTGTAGTACTGTTGTACAACACTACCCAATGCCCTCCCATTAATTGTATAAGTCCTAACCTTGTTTGTTGTACCAAAATACCTTGGATTTATCCAGTTTGAATTCCATCTGCCATTTTTCAGCCCGTTGACCCATTTGATCAAGATCCCTCTGTAATCGTTGAAAATCTTCTTCACTGTCTACTATGCCACCAAATTTGGTATCATCCACAAACTTACTAACTGCCCTCTATATTCCCATCCAAATCATCTTGAAGCATCTTCAAGTGATGTAAAATGCAATGCAGCCTCAACATAACTCATACAGAAATGGGAAAAGAAGCCATTTGCATTTAGCCTAGGTGTTTCTTCTTGCTTTTCTGTCTCCCATGCTCGCTCACTGTCCACCCCCGCCCCCGCCCCCGCCCCCACCCCCACCCCCACCTGTACACACATGTCCAGTCCATTCCATTCCCCGGTCCCTGTGACTTACACCAACTCCCCTCTCTCCCACTCCCTGTCACTAATGTACACTCCCCTCTGTCCCATTCCCCCTCGTTCTTTCTCGCTTTCTTGCTTGCTTCCCTGTGCTCTCTCAGAAAACCCCCTGCTTCCACTGACCTCTTTCCTCCACACTTCCTCACTAACCTCCCACTCCCCTCTCCCTGCTCCAGCTCACTGATCCCCACTCCCCTCTCTCTGCTCCAGCTTGTTTTTGCCATTTTCGCTCCTTCCCACTCAGCCTCACAACTGCTCCCCACTCTCACTTACCTTACTTGCTCTGCCCCTTTCCATCTGCCTGACTCAGACGCTTTCCCCCTTTTTGCATGCTGCCATGCTCATCCTCACCCGCACTCTCATTTGGAATATCTCTCTTTTTCTACCTTACAGACTTAACCTCTGCCCCACCCTGTCTTTCCTCACTCGCTCTGTGTCCCTCTGTCTTCTCTCTCACACACATGTCGCTGGTGTTCTGCTCCAGTTTCTGGTACCTGTGCGGGTGCATGAGAACCTTGGCTGTCTCCTGTTTTTGTTGTTCATCTATTGAGAAAAGGTGGGAGAGAAATGGCTTGTGATTGGAGAAGCAGGCCTAGTGGATCTATCACTTGACTCTTGAATAGATAGTCTATGTTTCACATACAGACGCAGTGACAGGTTGCATTCAACACCCAGGCCTTGAATGTTCTCTTGGTGTTGAGTTGAAGGGCATGCTTTTTGATTTCTATAAATGTTTCTTCACTGTTGATATGTGATATTGGCATAAAGTCAACAATTTTTAACATAATTCTAAATGGTATACAACTTTCCATTGTGCAGCGTCCTTTTTTTGATCCTTTTGATTTCATTAATGTTAATTGATAGTTGAAAAATATTAAAGTTCTCCCTTCCCCATAGGTTAACATACATTTGGTAATTCACTTCCCCAATCTTCACACAGCATATGAGATTGTGTTAACATGAGATAAGTAAGCATAGACAATCAATTTTCAACAATTTTCACGTTTGTTAGGTTATGGCAAAACATTTCAGAAATGGAAACTACTTCAACATTGTTGAGAACTTAAATGAATTGCACTCCTGCTGTTTTGAAATTCTAGAATTTGTGCCTTTTAGCTTTATAGTTTATTTTGAAATTATGAAGAACGAAAATTGAAATTTGTTGTAACTCAGTGCAGGATTGCATAATTTCTTGTAGGATTCATTTTCTATTTCTTCAAATCCTATTTCTAAATATCCAACTTCTAAATATCCATTGAGGTGACATTCATCATTTGTTCTTTACGCTTAGAATTATTTATTGAAATGAATTGATTCCTGTTTTTGCTAACCTTTTACATATTGATGAAAATGCCATCATCCAAATTGGAGAAACCTACCTGAACATTTCCACCTTTAAGATTGCTCTAATGAGTATTAATAATAGGAAGCCATGTGTGGAGTTACACACCAGGAATCATGATCAAATGTAGTCTTCAGATGAAGTGGTTTTCAAGGACAGGAAGTAATAAGGTCAAAGTAAGACTTAGTTCTAGCTCAGTTTTGTCCTAAATACTGTCAATTACTTTGGGTATTTAAATTATAAATTTGTATGCAAGTGATCATAATGAATACAGTGAGTATAAACTTGTTGATGAATAATTATACCTCCATGCCAGTGGTGACAGTGCAGTACCTCCACTGAAAGGAAAGTTTATTGGGTGACAATGCAGGGAGTTTCTGTGACGAATGTTCATATTAGATTTTATATTGGAAAGGGTTGGCTAGAACTGTGCAGATGTGGTACTGCTTTCTATACTGTTTATACAGAATTTTTAATTCAGAAAGTATAGTTTAGATTAACACCTGCTCTAAACTGTCCTGCTTGTTGTAAACTTATGAACAAAGTCACTTTGGATAATTGGTTGTTTCAGGTCAATTTTCTTTCTTTGAAACATTTTAAAAGAAGAAAAATCAAGTTGCATTTCTGAAGCATCTTTTGTGACCTGAGGACACCACAAAGTACTTCACAGTCACTGAAGCATTTTATGAAATGTAGTCATGCTGCTGCGTAGGATACATGGTAACCAATTTGTGCGCAGCAAGCCCTCAAAGAGCAGCAAGTTCTGAACTGTTCAAATATGGGCTACTCCATGGCAAGCAGCATAAACACTACACAAGTGTGCTGGAGAATGACCATCTTCAAAACAAGACCTTCTGGACATTTCCTCTTAATAATCATTGGAATTACCATTGCTGAATATTTTCTTGGGGTCACCATGAATCAAAAACTTTAAATGGCCACACAAATAGTGTGGTACAAGAGTAGATCAGAGATTGGATATTATGTAGTAAGTGACTCACCTCTTGACAATTAAGTCTATCTAACATCTACTAGGCATAGGTCAGGGTAATGATAAATTATTCTGTATTTGCTGGATCTGTGCATTTCTAACAACTTCGCAAGTTGATATTACTCGTGGGTGGGGGGAAGCAGTCTACTTGTTTGGGACCCTGTTCACCACTTTAAGCATTTACTGCCTCTACTACTGTCACTGCATGGCAGCAGTATGTACCATCTACAGGTTGGTTTATGACAACTCACCAAACACCACCTAAACCTCTGATCACCAGCATCTAGAATCACAGTGCATGTATGAGAACACCACCTGCATGTCCCCCACCAAAATATACCTTATGGGCATCAGTCATAGGAAAAGATGCACAGATGGTGATAGCAGTGTTAACACCAAATACAGACAAACACCTGACTGAGAATATGAAAACAAGTTATGGGTGATTATGTCTTAGCATACATTGAAAGCTTTAAAAAGTGTTTAAATTATTACCTTTCTACGCAAAAGGGTCAGCTGAAATAGTCACATCCTTGCCTCTGAATCAGAAGGCATGTGCAGGGATTA